TTAGACACTAAGACTTAATTTTTAATTGACAATTAAAATAATAGTGAAGGAATTAGACTTCTGGTGCACCAGAAAAGTTAGAAACAACTAGGGAATGCAATACCGGTATACCGATGTACCGAATTACCGGTAAACCGTCCGATTTTTACCGGTATTTATTCCAAAAATATCGGTATTTTTACATAAGCGCTATTTGATACATAATACACTAAAGTTTAAATTTCTCGGAACAAATTTATCTTCAAATTCCGTAATCGCATAAACAGCTATATCTTCAAGTGATTATATAAGATAGACAAATATCAAATATTATCTCAACTCGTCATTAAACTGAATATTTATTGCTTTCCAAAGGGCTTCATATCGTGTTACAATAAATAGAATTGGACTGAAGGATTATGATGTTTGTTTTATATTTTGTAAAAGTGTAACGGTTTTTTAAGTGATATTTGCGCCAAAATATTTTATATCATACATCATATATTTTATATCATTACCCCTGCGTAAGCTTTATTTTTTTCTAACTTTATACATAATAATTATGATAATTACTAAATATTTTTGCTTCTTATTACAATTATAAAATATTATTTTTCGAAAACGTTTCGAAATTTGGAAATACTATAGAAGAATCACATTGTTTTAAATAACAATACTCAACAATTATGGTAACTTATTATTTATCTCGACAAAGTATCCGATCTTAAATTAGTGTAGAATTATTATTTTTTTAAAATATTGGAGATTATGCTAATTTAACACATCGGATACAGACAATACTTTTTATTATAATAATGTAATATGATCTTTTATGAGTTTTTTGGTCTTTCTTACTCATAAGTTTGTTTTTGGAGAAAAGTACTCAATATACTCGATAGTGATGATGAATTAATTAAATTTGATATAATTTTGTTAAATTATTATTTAAAAAAATAAACTTATTGTTTTATTTTATTGTTTAGTTGAATATAGCTGTAGTTGTATATACATTTTTTAAATATTTGTACTAGTAACTTTGAAATTTGTTTACGTTTGTTTAAGATAATAAAAATACCGGTAATTTACCGGTATTCCGTTTTTAAAATGAAAAATTACCGAAATACCGGTATTGAAATTTTCCATCGGTATTGCATTCCCTAAAAACAACCTTTCTTTTGCAGCAGAAATTACTCCTACATCCAATTTAGTTCCAAAAAATCTTCTGATAGCTAAAAGCTCGTATAATTAATAATAATTAATTAATAATAATTAGTAACAATTACTGATAACTGTTTATCTCGACGGCTTTTTAATGTTAGTACACTTCTTATATCAAATTAATAAATAAATGTCGTTCAAAAAAAAATTATAAACGCTGATGAAATCATTCTAAGTAACAAAATAAGCAATCAAGAGACAAAAACAAAGCTTGTAAAATAATTAACTAATTAATAATCGTATTAATATTATTATTATTATTAAATGTTATTTATTTATAGATGTGTAAGAAGTTCAAAACTCGGGTATGAATTTTAAATGAAAGTGTAAGACACTTGAAAAAAAATAGATAAATTATATGTAGATAAAAAGATTATTAGTAGGTGCGTGGGTCGAAAATTTTACTCAAAAAATTATTTATTAGTAAATTATTTATTTTTGTTAAATGATTTGTTATAAGGTGGAACTGTGGATTATAAAAAATTGTGGTTTTTGAGTACACAGAGTTGCTGTAGGGTTTTATGATCTTAGATAATATTATAGATTATTTAAATACGAATATATTTCCCTAATACATCATTCATACTAAACGAGTGGTTTCGGACTTACGTAAGATATTTGAAATTGGCGCTCTTAACGATAAATATGAAGAAATAGCAACTTAGATCGTGATTTATGAGTATACCGAGTTGTTTTAGGTCATCATGATGTTAGACAATATTGTAGATTATTTTATTCTAAACAAATCTCTCTAATACATCTTTTGTATAAATCGAATGGTTTTGGAGTTATACAAGTCGAAAGAGATGCATTTTTTGATACACATAGGATGCAGAAATTTTAGTATGCAATTTTTGAGAATACTGAGTTGTTGTAGGGCATCATGATGTTAGACAATATTGTAGTCCATTTAATTTTGAACAAATCTCTCTAATACATCTTTTGTATAAATCGAATGGTTTTGGAGTTATACAAGTTTTTCGAAGAAAATGCATTTTTTGATGCATGTAGGATGCAGAAATTTTAGTATGCAATTTTTGAGAATACTGAGTTGCTGTAGGGCATTATAATGTTCGACAACATTATTAATAATTTCATTGCAAACAAATTCTTAAAATACATCATTTATATAAATCGAGTGCTTTTGAAGTTATGTAAGATATTCCAAAGTAAATTAGGGAAACCGTTATAAAATATTATTATAAACTACATATTTTATTTAATATGTTTTTAATAACAACGTCAATTATATTAAAAATATATAATTATTAAAATAACAAACAAAATAGAACAATAAATTATTTTTAGTATATTTAATCTAGTAACATTAGTTCTATCATTATCTATTTTTTATAATTATTTATAATATTTCTTCAGACATTGATAAAATTGTTTATAAATATAAACACAGTTCCATCTTCAAAGAATATATACGTAAATTTGATAAAAATCCTAAATAAATATAATTGATTCATAAAATATTTATTTATAAATATTACTAATTTATAAAATATTTAATTTACAAAATATTTATCGAATGTAAATTATAATTAAAAAAAACGGTTGTTATTTTTAGTTAGTTTATAAATATATATAAAATTTTATTCTATTTATGCTGAATGAATTTATTTTTAATTCGTTAACGTAATAAATTATTAATTAAGTAAATCAATCAATAAAAAAATTATAAATCAATATCAAATATATTGAACGTATGTTAAATTCTATATATATAGAATTAAGAACAAGCTTTATAAAAAATATATTATATATATAAATTTTTAATATTTTCAATTTTGGATGTGGATGAGCAATAACTATTTTGTTTTAATAATTATATATATAATATGAATATATATTAATATAATTATTAATATTATTAAATAAATTTATATCAACGAAAATATATCGAAGAAAACGAGGTAAATTTAAATAAAATATTTAGCAATTTAGATACAAATATATATATATATATATATATATATATATATATATATATATTGTATATTTTAGTCTTTAATAATTAAGTCCTCATTATCATAAATCGAAATAATCTGATTTCTATGTGTTCAAAATAATTCATCAAACTCAAATACTGTTATTATATTATTAAAAATAAATATAAATATAAATGAATTTACTGTTAACGAGAAAGCCCTTTGAGATGGAAAAAGGGTTTTAATAGTAATTATTATTAAATAATATTAATATAAGTCAAATAGTATTGTCAAATCGAAGGAATTATTAAAATAAATATTAAAATGTTGAATTTAAATTTATAAAGGGATTTTAATTTATAATTGAATTTCGTAACGTATGATTAATAGATAACTTGTAATTTTCTTCTAAAATATATTAATTTCATATTTTTTATATTTAGTACACATATTTAGTAGCAACATACTTGAAATACAAAGTTGTAGTACAAACGGTGCGTCCTGAATAGCTCGTTGAATAGTAACATTGTGTTTACGAGAGCACTTTACGTACTTTATTCAGTTAGTCGCAAATATTTCACACTTCTTATTAGTAAAGCATATATTTTAGTATTTTTTATATTTAGTACATACATTTAGTAACAACATACTTGAATTACAAAGTTTTTATGCAAACGGTGCGTCCTGAAGAGCTCGTTGAAAAGTAACATTGTGTTTGCAAGAGGACTTTACGTACTTTATTCAGTTAGTCGCAAATATTTCACACTTCTTATTAGTAAAGCATATATTTTAGTATTTTTTATATTTAGTACATACATTTAGTAACAACATACTTGAATTACAAGGTTGTAGTACAAACGGTGCGTCCTGAAGAGCTCGTTGAATAGTAACATTGTGTTTACAAGAGCACTTTATGCACTTTATTCAGTTAGTCGCAAATATTTCACACTTCTTATTAATAAAGCATATATTTTAGTATTTTTTATATTTAGTACATACATTTAGTAACAACATACTTGAATTACAAGTTTGTAGTACAAACGGTGCGCCCTGAAGAGCTTTTTAAACAGTGACACTCTATTTTTAAATTTTTTTAAGTCTAATGAATAATTTTCCAATTTTCCTTGTTTTTCTATAAAATTTCCACTAATTTACGAGTTTATTAATCAATATAATCTAATTTTATAAATTTACAAAATTTAGTGATTTATTTTCCTTTATTAATATTTTCTATGAAACTTTTACTCACAATATTCACTTTAAGTTACATTTTTCATAGTTAATACTAAATAATTTTCCATTATTTATTAGAATTTGTATTTTCCTGTCTTTTCTTTAAGACTTTCATAATAAATTTGTTATAAATATATATATATATATATATATATATATATATATATATATATATATATATATATATACGAGTACATGTATAAACTTTGTCAAATTTAAATTTCAAACTTGGCGCCTTAAACTTGAAGATAGATGTGAAGTCCTATGACACTTTTACTCACAATATTGACTTAAAGTTACATTTTTCACAGTTCATACTAAATAATTTTCCATTATTTATTAGAATTTGTATTTCGCTTGTTTTTTTAAGACTTTCATAATAAATTTGTTATAAATTTATATATATTTACACATATATAAACTTTGTCAAATTTAAATTTCAAACTTGGCGCCATAAATTTAAACATAGTTGTGAAGTGATACGTAGCCAACTTCACACTGTTCACAAACACCACTTGCGTGAAATGTCAGACATTTTAGGTTAAAGACGCGCATTGAGTCAAATTATGTAAAAAACATTAAATAAACCAAATCTTGTTAAAAATTACCCATCGGTTCCATAATAATCAAAAACTTAATCTTTACCATCCATTATTAATTGTGCACAAGTTAGTTTCACCCAGATTCCATTACCATGATGAATATGAACATGCACGGTATGCCCCAACAAGGCGTGGGGGTCCCAGTAAACCAAATGGGAATGCCAGGAGTCCAAGTCGGTCCTGGAGGAGTCCCTGTAGGACCAGGAGGTGTACCTGTTGGACCTGGAGGTGTGCCTGTTGGTCCTGGAGGTGTCGGAGTACCTCAAGGTATTATGCAGCAACCTTCTCCTCAACAAATGCAACAGCAACATGCTATGCAGCAGCAACAGCAACAACAGCAACAGCAGCAGCAGCAGAATGCTCAAGTTCCACCTGCCGATAAGCTGGATAATATATCGAAGGTCAAGTCTTTGATTGGACCGCTGAGGGAGTCACTTTCGGTAAGATGATAAAGGACTCTTTGATTTAGTATTAGTAAAACTTCTTTTGTGTCTTTTTTAATTATGAAGTTGATTTTTGTCCTTTGTCTCAGGTTACCTTAAAAACAGCAGCACAAGTCTTACATAAGAATCACCAACTTGACACAGGAATGGTGTAAGTATAATGTAATAGTTTAAATAAATTTATAAATGTAAATATTTTCAATAAATGATTATTTTATTTTACAGTAAGACCACAGTTGATGATGATACTCGGTTTGATAAATGCATTGAAGACTTTTATTCAAAGTGTGATCAAATCGAACTACATTTGGTAAGTTAATTTATATATATGTATATATATATATATATATATATATATATATATATACTAGCTGACCTGATAAACATTGTTTTGCTAAGTAAGGTATATTCTAAACAATTTTTAGATATTCAAAAATATTAATACTTTAAGTGTATAAAGGATGTGTTGTTTGAATGCTATATACAATGAGGTATTATAAAAACAATAAACCCCATTAGTTTGTCTATTATTTGTCTGAAAGTTTTAAACACTTTCTTTATGATATAATCCAATCCAAGTCTTTTTTGGTCTTTTGAATCATTGATTACGTTTCAAGTTTTCCAGATTCTTTTTGGATTCTGGATTTTGTGTATAATTATAAATATTACTACTGAGCTTATACAAAATATTCAAATTTTTGCGAGGAGAGATAGAAAATGAATCAGATATATCTGCTTTGACCTGCTTTTTGAAAAGTTTCAAGTAACATTTGATGAACTAAAGTAAATTTAATAAAAAAATATATACGTAGAGCAGGGCGAGGCCCGAAGGTCCAATTTGACTTTGAGCAAATATTAATTATATTATAAAAATCAAACCAATTATATCACAACAAATGGCACATTTCAAACGAACAATAATCTGACTACGTTCAGTTAAACTGCCAGCTACTTCTACATTGTAGAAATGTACTTTTTAATGTCTTTCAAAAATTTGTCATAAGCGCAATACTTGACGTGGATGCTATAGCATTCACGATTTAAATATGATAATGTGACTACGGAAACTTTTAAAGGGCGCCAACTTTTTCCTTTTTCCATAGTTGCGTAAAATAGAAGCGCAATATTTTTCGTGGATGCTATAGCATTCATCTAGTATACGACGATTGAAATATGATATTCTGTCTAATAAAAGTTTTATTGGGAGCAAACGTGTTAAAATGCAAGATCACTTTTCAGTTGAAACTCCATCAGTTTCAGTTAAAACTCCATTTTCAGTTTTTTATAGTCTCTAACTTAACGTGGATGCTATAGCATTTATCTAGTATATAACGATCAAAATACGATAATCCGATTACTCAAGCTTTTATTGGGCGCGAACGTGTTAAAATGCAAGATCAGTTTTCACTTGAAACTCCATCTTTTTTCATAGTCTCTAACTTAACGTGGATGCTATAGCATTCATCTAGTATATAACGATCGAAATACGATAATCCGATTACTCAAACTTTTATTGGGCGCGAACGTGTTAACGTGCAAGATTATTTTTAAGTTGAAACTGCATCATTTTCCTTAGTCAATAATTTGACGTAGATGCTATAGCATTCATCATTAAAATATGATTTATGATTTAGACCTTTTTACCCTATAGGCGGGGTAACTTGGAACGGCCAGGTGGCAAACAGGTTTAATGTCATATTTTAATTTTAAAAGTATTTTTCAAAAAAAAATACATTTTCACCTAATGAATCACCAAATTTTCAAAGAATAACCGTTTATCTTCCGATAGCAAAATCATGAGAATCAAGGTTATAGTTGGTTATACATCTTTTACCCTCTACTTTTAAATATCGTTGTTAAACAATACTTAGCTTTACTGGTTTTGAACACTTTGGTGGTGGAACTTTTAACCCCGGACTTTCAAATATTACTATTCATTCTTCGATAAATTCTGGGAAATTATAACAGAGAATAAGTTATTCGACAAAATGTACATATAAATGTAAATGTATGTAATGTTTTTCTTCAGTCCTTGCATTTGCAATATTTCGCATTCTTCATGCATTACGGCTTTTTTGGAAAGATTCGATCGTCTTGGTCGCGTCATTATTAATTAAACTTCACTTCACCTTACATATATAGAACCAAGAACTAATATTCATTCACTATATTTAACATCAATGTATTGCATTTTTTGTTTTTTTTATATATTTTTTTGCTCATATCAATTTTGTAAATAAGACATTAAAGTCTTGATTAACAAAAATAAATTGTAATAAAAAAAAAAAAAAACTATATTTAACATGAGGTAGTAGAGGTTAATTTCACTGACAGAAACACAGAATGACAGTTGACAATCGAATGTAATGAATGAAATCATTGATAGTATCATAAATTGACTACCCTGAATAAACTACATGGATAGTTTATAAATAATTAATTCTGAATTAGAATGAAAAACGGGATAAAAAGTATTTCATATGCTTCTCCTGTCTCTAAACTACCTCCTTGCCACCAATAGATTACTTAGCCACAGCAACGCGTGGCCGGGCTAGCTAGTATATATATATATATATATATATATATATATATATATATACACTAGAGATGGGTAACTCACTCCGGAGTTATCACTCAGATACAACTCCTACCTCGGAGTGAATCCGAGTGGAGTTGTCTCGCCGGATTTGTCATATCCGACTTCCCTAAACTGGTTATTTTTTCAATGGTTGTTGTGATTGAATTTTGAAGGACCAATTGTAAAATACTATAATTTGTAACTAGTAATATTTTCTTATGTTAATAACAAGTTATAAGTGTATTCACAATAATTTTAATATGTTTTTTGATAACGTATTGATTGATTTTATTTATTATGTGATTATCGACTGATGATTTTTTGTTTATATATCAATATAACCGCATGCTTTGATTGGCGCGAACACTGGTACTAAGGAAGCTGTCGCTTTCTCGTCTTCTAAACAGGCAGTTTTATGACGTTTTAGGTATACGTTTTTTCCAGAAAATACAAAAATATTACTTCAAAGATAGAGAACAATGAAATTGTGTTCAAGCGTGAATAACTCCAAAGTATAATTTATTGAATAGTAAGGGGTCATATTTCTAACTACGACAATCTTTGGCCGTGAATTTGGACACATTTAGTCGGTTTTTTCTATAGCCTGAAATAACAATACTTTTTAGAGTGTAAAATATATCAGTGACGTCAATGTATTTAAGCAACAAAAAATATTTATATTATATTATTACTTTTACACAATTATATAATTGTATAAAAGTAATAATATGCTAATCGAACTATCTGATATAATATTAATTCTCGAATAGAAATAGCAGAAAAAAAAATTAGAAAGCAGAAGCATTATTCGATAAAAATATTTTATGATAAATGTTTTGCTTTTATTACAAAGTTTACTACATTATTTTTAAATAAAATTATTCCAAAAAATCAATTATTTTCTCATCAAAAGAAAGTTTTGTGTTTTTACTTTGGTCAACACTGTTAAACTTACGAGTCGTTGAGTCGATCATGTGGTTTATTAATATTTTTTAATTTTATTTTATTCGTAAATTTTCATTTAAAAAAATTAAATGGGATTTGGCAAATCCTTAGATGCATAAACAACGCACTCGACGCATTTGTGTCGAGTATTTCGGTTTCAAAGTTGTCGGAGTCGTGGAGTTGTTAAGCGGATATAACTCCTCCCTGAAGCGGAGTTAAATCCGAGTCGATCCGGCTTCGGATATGATAAGCCCATCTCTAATATATACATATATATATATAATGAATTAGAATGAAAAACGGGATAAAAAGTATTACATATATGTATTGTATACACGTACATATATATATATATATATATATATATATATATATATATATATATATATATTTATGTGATATTCAGTTTTAAATTTATATAAAAAATTTAATATATATTTATATATGTCTATATATATATGCCTATTTCCTTTCCAGAAAACTTCCATCCAATGTCTGAGCCAATCAGCATCTGCACACCAGTACTTACCTTTACCAGTGGCTGCAACTCGTGTGGAGCCCTTACCTCCGCCTCAGCCTGAACAAGCTGCCATTTCATATCCACAATATCTGTCGACTGTCAGGTCACAAATAAGTTATGCTAAGGAAATACACGACACACTGGTGGCTGCTGCCCAAAATATATCGGAATGATTTGATAGAAAAAATAATTATTTAGTATAAGGTGAGTGGTAATGATGATTGCAGAATCGGTTTTGATGATGTTGTAATTTGTTTTGTTTTTTTGTTGCAGTTGTTTGTGATGTGAATTAAGGAAAATGTGCAGGAGGATGTGTAGTAAACTACAGGCAAGTGGAATTCTTATGTAACTCTGACTTTTTAATACTATTTATTCTACTTTTTTACTTATTTGTTGACTGTTTCTTATTCTTTATCTATCAATAAATTATTGAATCTGCATATATATATATATATATATATATATATATATATATATATATATATGCATATATATATATATATATACGTGGTCTGTTCAAAAAGTACCCGGAATTTTCGTTTTTTCAAAAAAATATTTATTTATTCGTCTACATTAATGTGGTCCCCTTCAAAGTAGTCCCCCCCAGATATAATACACTTATGCCAGCGTTTTTTCCAATTTTCGAAGCACCCTTGATATTCACTTTTTGATATGTCCTTGAGCACTCTCAGCGATTTTCTTCAATAGGAAAAAGTCACACGGAGCCATATCTGGTGAATTTTTGCACTTTGCAACACTTTATTTCATTTTTTACGCAAAATTTAATACAAATTCTTTGACTTTTCAATTCTTCCATTGTAAAAATCGCCGAGCTCAGAAAAACACGTCGAACCTTAGCGACTACCACAGACAAAGTAAACAGTGAATATAGCTGAAAATTTCATCATACTTTAGGGGCATGTATACCAACACAATAAAAAAAAAATTTTGACAATCAGACACTCCAGACCCGCGAAATTCAATTATTAGTAATTCCGGGTACTTTTTGAACAGACCACGTATATGTATATGTATATATAAATATATATATATATATATATGTATATGTATATGTATATATATATATATATATATATATATATATATGATAAAATTGTTCTTGGGCATCCATCCAATAATTAAAAATAGTTTTATTGAAAGAAAATGTTTGTATTCAGGGAACATACGTTTCCATATACCCATCTTCAGTGCATACAAATAAATTGGAAAAAAAAACACAAAAACACACGAAATTGCACGAAAAAATAAATATGAAACAAAAAATTGATAAAACGTCGAGTTATGATAAATTTTGAAAAATTGTAAAATTAAAATAATATATTTTATTATAAAAAAGCTTATTCCAAACAAACATGTTGTTAGCTTGGAGTACTTGTTACGTGTCACGTTTTTATTTATTTTTTCGTGCAATTTTGTGTGTTTTTGTGTTTTTTTTTTCAAATTTATTTATATGCACTGAAGATGGGTCAAATCTAGACCCGAAACGTATGTTCTCTGAATAAAAACATTTTTTTCAATAAAACTGTTTTTAATTACTGGATGGATGCCCAAGAACAATTTTATCATATTTATTTCACCATCTGAAAAAAACCTTTCGCTTTATATATATATATATATATATATATATATATATATTTTTAAATTTGAAACGTTACATAAGTCTTCCAAAAGCCTGTTAAATATATAATTTATATTTTAATTATAATATACTGATAATCTTAAGAGTGATTTTCGTATATATTTAAATATATTATAAAGGTTTCATAAGGAAAAATTACTTAAAACACTTTAAGTTAATTACTTTTAACACTTTAATTACTTTAATCAGATATTTCTTAAAAATAAGGGTTTTGATATGTTAGAAAACATTTTTGATAATTTAATTTTGAACAAATGAGCCTCATATCTTATTTAAATTGCACAAACGGTTCAAAAGTTACAAAAAACATAGTAAATAAATGCACTATCCAAGTACTACACTATGTCTCATATCAATAGTCATTTTCAAAATTGATTTTAAAGTATATAGAGTTGCTGTAGGGTTTTGTTATATTAGAAAACATTTTTGATAATTTAATTTTGAACAAATTTGCCTAATTTTTTATTTGAATTGCACAAACGGTTCAAAAGTTACAATAGATATAGTTATTAATTACACAATTGTATCTATAAGATCATATCAATAGTCAACTTTCGAAATTAATTTTAAAATACACCGAGTTGTTGTACGACTTTATAATATTAGAAAGATTTATAGATAATTTAATTGTAAACAAATTTGTCTAATACTTTATTTAAATTGCACAAACAGTTCAAAAGTTACAAAAAATATAGTGAATATCATTTTAATCATTTAAATTAGACATTTATTAAAAAGGAAAAAGAAATATTATTAATATAATTAAATGTTCTAATTTGTTTTTAATTAAGTTGTTTAATAAAAATAAAAAATATTCTAAAACTAAATAAGAATTTAAATAACTAAATCAAGATTCTGCCAATTTTTTAAGGTCAACATTTTTTGTTTTATGCAAAATGATTTGTATTAAAGGTGTGTTTGAATTAATATTAATAATATGCTTTCAAAAAAACAGTTTTGAATAGTTTTGGAATTTTCTCATCAAAAATAAGTTGATTGGTTAAAATCATTTTGATAATTTTTATCAATCTACTTCATACTTCATAAACTTAATCTAATACTATATATATATATATATATATATATATATATATATATATATATAAAACACTCAGATTTTTTACACACTTTATTTAATAGTTACAGACGTTTCGAGACGATGGTATGCCTCATCTTCAGTGTAATTTCAAAAACAGTTACTTATATACTACACATTCTTTAATATTTTATTTAAATTACATTTAATTTTTGATATACAAAAAACACCAACTATCCCTTGCAATGCTCGACTCGGTACTAAAAACATGTGATACTTATGAAAATATTTTAAACAAATCTTAAGTATCGAAATATTGGAGAACAGGATGGGTATTATTATAATGTAAATAAAAGGAGTGTACTAGAATCAACAAATATGAAAACAGATTAATTTATTGACGAGAATAATATAAATGAAAAAATATATAAATTATTAATGATGTTTATATAAGAGTGGTGTAAAATATTTGTGTCGGTTTTCAGATTTACTCTATTGTTAGTCCGAACTATTAACAATGATTCTGCCATGCTCCGTTTAAATAAGTCTTTTTCATGGAATAAGATTTGGAGATTATCAAAATTAAACTTATGGTTGTTGATATTAGCATGATCCACAAGCGTACTTTTAAATTTTTTGTTATCAATTTTTTCGCATTGTAATTCATGCTGCCTGAGTCTTTTTTCTAAGTTCTGTCAAATAAGGCCAATATAACAACAATTACAATCCAAACAATTTACTTTATCAACTAATTCTTTTTTACTGAATAACTTTATAAATTAATTCTTAATTGATCTTTTTAGTACTGAGTCAAGCATTGCAAGGAATAGTTCGTGTTTTTTGTATATCAAAAATTAAATGTAATTTAAATAAAATATTAAAGAATGTGTAGTAATTAAATAACTGTTTTTGAAATTACACTGAAGATGAGGCATAACATGGTCTCGAAACGTCTGTAATTATTAAATAAAGTGTGTGTTAAAAATCTGAGTGTTGTATTGTTCATATTTAACATTTAATATTTGTTCCATTCATATCACAAAATTCTATATATATATATATATATATATATATATATATATATTTATATAAATATAAATACTGTCCACTTCTTCAATTGTATAAAATTTTATTCAAAAACTTCAGTACAACTTAAAAACTATTTACAGTAGTTTTTCCATCAATGATTTATGAATGTATAAAAAATTAAATTTTTTGATACAAAAAATTAATATGAAGGCGTCCCTAAAACTAAACTAATTATAAACTAATAATGTAAGATTCATTTTATATAAAACTAGTATTTAATAAAATTTGATATTAAACAATGTCTTTCTTAGAATTATCAGTCTCCGATGTAATATCTTTCTTCATATGTAAATTCATTCATCATAAATCTATTCCTAAACTTCTTCTTTTAATTCCATTCCAGTTTTCCATTCATTTCATCCATTTCATCATTTTTTTGGCAAATTTTGATTTGCCAGGAGGAAAAAACAATCATTAGCATTCGTGGTAGATGATGTGGTAGCAGCTTCTGAAAAGGTAAGTGGGAATTTACATTTATTTATTAAAGAATATAAATTATTTATTTATATGAATAAATAATTATATTTTTATTGCGTATATATATATATATATATATATATATATACTAGATGACCCGACAGATGTTGTCCTGTACCCACATCTACATTTTTTAATATCCTATACTAATATTTTTTGTTCAGTTAAAAATAATAATTGTTTTTTGAAAGACTATTTACACCAATATACAAGTGATGTTGAATGTAGAACTGTTTCAAATAAAACTTTAATTATCCCTTTAACAAATATGTAAAATAAAATTGTACACTAAAAATTATACACTGCAATTTATAACAAAAATTTATTTCTAATAGCTCAATTTATTTTAATGCCAAGGGTTATACAATATTTTTAGTCGTACCTGTAGATGTGAATGTATAAATGAATGATTTTTTGTTTATTCAATGCTAAAACATTGATTTTTTAAATTTATCACACAAAAAGACATCGTCTGCCTTTGTAATATATTTATTATCATAGCATAGATACATACATGTTGAAAATTTAAATCTTTTATAAGTATAACAAATTCAGAAAGAATTAATATATAGCATTCGCGGTAAAGGTACAATATCACCTTGAATTTTTCTACCCAAAATAATTGCTTCAATAACGTTGCCTATAATTTTAATAATTTTGTACCATATTTTAACTGGCTTTTAGTAATTTACGATCTAAATTAAATTTTTTTCACTAATAATTCAATATACATTATTACTTAAGTTCATATTTGAAGTGAATTAATTTGTCAAATTCTGTTCACATGTGCTCTATTCAACCTACGATCAACAAAATTATTGCAGTAAATGGAGAGGAAAACGGCGTGTGCCCTGCGAATTTTTTTTACTATGCTCCAATTTGCTTTATATTTTGGAAATATGCTAATCTTAATCTTAGAAGTGAAAACAATTTGCACTCCTTCACCACCCCCGGCATTAATTGGATTATGACTCTTTTAATTCTGATTTTATCAGAACTTGTAATATACGCATGTTGACTCTATCTTATTATATTATTTTAATTTTTGGCACATCTCAGCTGCTATTCGGCAATAATAATGTTGACATTACATTTTTCTTATTCATAATCATGAAT